GTCTGATTCCTGCCTGTTTCAAGACCCCCTGCAACATTTCAGTTGCACTGCAACCCAAACTAGTAACATGAAAGTGTACTTACTTTTTTTAGGGTAGGTTTTGCAGAAGATTTGCCAGAATTTGTCAGTATCAGAATAAAATCATATAAGAAGGTAAACAAATTATAATTTGTTTAAACAATAATTATAAATAAATTATTATTTACCTTCTTATACAATTATTATAGTTATTTTGTTTCAAATTGTGACCAGATGGGAGTGATTTTTAAGTTTATGAATCAGAATATTTATTGCTGTTAATAGTTATTAATGTTAAATTATTCATGATTGTTGTAATACCACTGCAGTGTCCCTAACCTGAGTATTTTACATTATTCATTGAGTTTTTTTGTAAAACAGATAATTAAGGCTGCTTAATTGCTCTTAATTGCTCCTGCAGCCTATCAGTCTAACTGCTGGTACATTGATCACTGTGTCAGTTGTTATTGATGTTGTGGGGTTTTTCTGTTTTTGTTTTTTTTTAAGATCTACATGTATGAGAGGGCTTGTGCAAAAATAAATTAGTTTTTTATGAGGATCCACAGAAGTTTATCTGTAGCATTGCTAATGATTTTATATTTTTTTCTTCATAGTTTGGCCCAATGAACCCTTTTAAAAGCCAGCAGATGGCTGCCCCCAGGAACATGTTATCTGGCTATGCAGAACCTGCTCACGTCAATGATTTTATGTTTGAACAGCAAAGGAGGACTTTCTCCTCATATGGTAAGCCTAGTGATTTGGGTTTGGATGATGCAGTGTATTGATGCTGTTTAAATTTTAATGACTTTACAATTCTCCCTTCTTTGCTTAAAGGTTATGCTTTAGATCCATCTGTTGATACACACGAGTCATCCTCTAATACCTACATTGGTGCAGTGGAAGAGGCTGAGAAACATAAAGGTAAATATTATTTATATTCAATATGTTTGAGTGTTAAGATCTACTGATATGTTCAAAAAGCTTTTCAGTTATTTAGTTTAGGGGAAGTTTGTGATTCTAGTATTATATGGCTTCTCCTACAGGTCTGACTGTGTTTGAGAGCGGTCTGAAGAAGTCACAGAAGAGGAAAAAGGTCAAAGGTGGAGATGCAGGAGAAATTGACAATTACCTTGGACCATGGGCAAAATATGCAGATGAGAAAGATGTGGCCAAACCAACAGAGGTAATTTTGACTGCTTCTCCATGTGATTAATCTACTTGTTATCCTGAAAGGCATTTTTTAAATACTTTATTTATATTCATATATTTTGCCATGATGCAGTTAACGTCCTCTAAAGACAATTTTTTTTAATCTTTCATAGTACAGGTGATGCAATGGAACATATTTTGTTTAAGTTATGTAGTTGTGTACTAGACTTTAATAGATGACATGCACAGTTGGCAAAATGCAGATTATTACTCACATTTCCTTTTTACATCTTAGATGAAATCCATCCATGTTTACATAATTATATAAAAGGCAGTAAGTGTGAAGTAATCCCCTGGTTGTGATTATTGTTATTGTACAGGATGAGCAGAAGGAGCTGGATGAAATTACAGCCAAGAGGCAGAAGAAGGGAAGGAATGAGGAAGATGCTCCTTCAGAAGAGAAGACTATTCTCCATGGTACTGACTTTTTTGTTAAT